AGTGCATACACATGTTTCATCACAGTGATATCATGTAGAACTCACGGTGTGATATTTGCAAAATTTGGGCATGCGTATGAGCCCTGCCAACTGCGAATTTAAAACCTAGTTTGATATTCACATTACACCGTTATAATTTATAAAACGTTGTTTGAATATCACGAATGTTGTCCGGGTTCAATTAAAAAATATATTCCATTTCACGCGTAACGGATGGGACATTTGCAAGTTTTTATTTACAAAATAATATTGTTCTATTATTTTACTAATGTCAAATTTTTATAAATAGTTCTAAACAAAAGTTGTTTAACAAGGTTTCTATTTGGCAAAATTAGGTATTGTGGTTGTCTGTTTAATTCCTTAAAAATTATTTTTTTATTCAAAAACAGCACTAGTAGTCTTTTTAAATAAAAAAAATAATTTTTAAGGAATTAAACAGTCTCATCCGTTACGCGTGGAATGGTCGTATACTTTTTCTCTCAATGTACGAATGTGGCGCAAAATAAATATCCAAACACGGATGGCATACAAAATCACGACATGATTTTTTATGCCATCGGTGCACCGACATGTTTGGATATTTATTTTTGCTCCACATTCGTACATTGTGAGAAAATGTATGTTAACAATTGAATTAATAGTTTCTGCGGTTAAATACATTTAATATTTTCTTGGATGTAAATTAACTATTAATTTAAATCCAAAAAAATATTAAATGTATTTAACCACAAAAACTATTGATTCAATATATATGTAGGTATACTTTCTCTCTCAATGTACGAATGTAAAAATCACGACATGATTTTTTATGCTATCGGTGTTTGGGCATAAAAAATCACGACATGATTTTTTATGCCATGGGTGCACCGACATGTTTGGATATTTATTTTTGCGCCACTTTCGTACATTAAAAGAAAAATTATGTTAACAATTAAATTAACAGGTTTTGCGGTTAAATAGATTTAATATTTTCTTGGACACAAAAACTGTTAATTCAATATATATGTAGGAATACTTTTTTTTATCAATGAACGAATGTGGCGCAAATATAAATATCCAAAAACCGATGGCATAAAAAATCACAATATGGATATTCATTTTTGCGACACATTCGTACATTGAAAGAAAAAGTATGTTAACAATTGAATCAACAGTTTAACATTCAATATGTTCTTGGATTTAAATTAACTATATACAGTTAATTTAAATCCAAGAAAATATTAAATGTATTTAACCGCAAAAAATGTTGATTCAACATAACTTTTCTCTTAGTGTACGAACGTGGCGCAATAATGATTATCCAAACACCGTTGGCATAACAAATCACGACATGATTTTTTGTGCCATCGGTCAATCGCAAACAGCGATGGCATAAAAAATCACGACATGATTTTCATTTCTCACGCAGTGACATCCGGATGATGTCCGTATGAATAAAATTTGTGAAAATCACGACGTGACGTTTGTATGATTTTCATTTATTACGCGGTGACTTCCGTATGATATCAGTATGAATACAATTTTGTTTTGTTGGGAGAAAGTTGGAAAAAGTCGGTTAAAATAATTGTTGGGCAGAGCTGAAATTAGAAGTTCGTAGATGTGCAAAATGAGTAATTTTGAAAAGGGTACTTAAAATATAACGTCAAAAATAAATTGATTGGATTTCTTTAAGAAAATTTAGTATTTTACAACAGGCATATGGCAGCCAAACCAAGAATTTTAAATCTAAATGAATAGCGTTAAAAATATCATAAAATTAATATAATTATAATAACGAATTGATTGTAGAAAAATAGAGATTATGGATTATAAATATGATTAGGTATATTGTATTGTTTTGTTAATAGGAAAGCGCTGCTACTTATTAAAAGATAAGTCTCGATCAGCCAATGTAAATTAAGTGTAGATTGATAAAACATATAAGCATGGTTTGAATAAAGTAAACGCAATTAAATAAAACTGAGTTAATACGGGTTAAGAAAAATAATAGATTCAATCATTAGGCAACCATTGTTACGTTTAAACCATGCTTGTGGGCCTATTAATAATTATCGAATTTCCTGAATTATAGTATATTTTGAAGTTGATATTAGTGGAAAAAACTCCGCCCAATGCCTAGTAAAATCCCCCGCTAAGTTTGTTCCAGGCCTTTCAGATAGCCGAGTAAAGTCAAGGGTAACGCCTTCATCCTTAAGAACTATTTAACTGCTTATCTTAAAGCGAATAGCCCTTTGTCATTTTAGGCTGGTATTAGAGTTTATGACCTTTAAAGGTTCAATTGAACCAGTTAATTTCCTATGACCCTTGCGAGGGGAAATTACCATGATTTTGACCTATGGTCTTTAAGAATTAATCCCTTCCAATTTTTCCTTAAAATAGTCTATAAAAAACCAAGGCGACCCTTGAAACGGCAGTTCTTATCTAGATTTTATCGCGCTTTTCCAACGTCTGCAGATATCCGTTTTAGCCTCTACTTGCCAGCTTCAATTGATTCAGTGTAAGGTATCTATAGTAATTATTGTATTTCAAACCAATTTTGTTTAGATTAGATTTACTCTCCTAGTTTATTTCATTCATTTTATTAGTTTAATTATTGTTACATTTTCTTTTACTTTACGTTTTTAATTCAACGTAACTTAATTTTCCTTGTTTTTATCTTTTCATTTTTATTGTTACTTCTTTGTTAATATATTTATATGATTTGAAATATTGCTTTATTGCTACTGTCGGTTTTATAAGAAATAACCTTGAATCAATTTAAGTCGAGTAGTAAGTATACAGTGAACGGTGATCGTTGTGTGAAGTTTTCCGGGTGATTCGACGCGAGTGAGTTTAGTGTGTTAATATCCATATCGGGAGTACTTCGCCTCTACTCAGAGTCGTCCATCAGACGTCATCTAACCGAAGCCGCTACAATCTTCACCGGATTGGATTAGTCATTTGTAATGGGTAACTTATACGAGAACATCAATACTCATGAGCTCCCGTAGGCCAACCAAGGAATAAGAAGTAAAAGTATAGCAAACACACAACAAAAAAACCCGTTACAATGGGCTACTTCGTATTTTAAACGAGGAAGGTATATACACTCGGGGATACGCGGATGACCTCGTCATTATCGTAACCGGAAGGGTACCAAATACTATTAAAGAGATCATGCAAAGAGCTCTTAAAAGGTCGAAAGGTGGTGCAACGATCACGGACTATCCGTCAATCCAGATAGAACAGAAGTAGTACCATTCACCAACCGAAGAAACGTGAACCTTGAAGGGCTCACGCTCTTTGGATCAAGACTGCCGTATCCAAAGCAGTCAAGTATCAGGTTGACCTGGAAGGAACAGGTCAACAGGGTCGTCCAGAGGGCCACTTATAGCATATGGGTATGCAGAAGGACCATTGGACGCACCTGGGGCTTACAACCCCACATAATGCACTGGCTTTACACAACTGTCATAAGGCCAATGATCACATACGGCAGCCTTGTTTGGTGGAATGCGTTGAGCAAGGCCACCTACAGGAAGTAGATGGATAAGCTTCAACGATTTGCCTGCATGTTCATAATTGGAGCTTTTAGAACCACTCCAACATTGGCAATGAAGGCCATACTGGGACTGGCGCCTCTACATCTCTAATGAAGGTGCAGGAGCTGGTATATATGGGGAGCGACCTGGGGCGAGAATAAGCCTTGAACTAGGTCGACAAGCAACGGTATACCAGACTGAAATCTAGCTACTCAGGTAAACATATCTACATATATAGCGACAGTCAACCAGCACCCGGGCTCTTCACTCATAAAGGGTCAAATCGAGGCTTACACTGGACTGCATAAAAACCCTCGAATTACTCAGTGTGCTAAACAAGGTTAACCTTATCTGCCCTGCTTAAAATACCCCATAGAGACCTATACAAAATAATCTATCGGGCGCTACCGGATTCAATATGTGCATTTGTCCATGGTTTTTTCCGGATACGGCCCGATAGAAAATTTATAGGAAATTACCTATAGGTATTTGACAAAATTTTATTAAAACCTATGGGGGAAAACTAATTTCTACATTTATGTGTATTTTTCCCATTGAAACCAATAGCAAATAAATCAAGGGTGGATATCCCTATAGAACAACACTAAATCCCAACTATGGGTCCTATACATACCGATACACCCTATAGAAGCACCATACATTCCGATACAAATATCGGTTTGAACAGGGTCTCTATGGGATATTTTAAGCAGAGTGGGTACCGGGTCATCGAGACATCAAAGGCTACGAGGAAGCAGACCAGCTGGCTCGTGAGGGCAGTGACACAGCCTTTTTGGGGCCAGAACCTGTCATAGGGGTCGCCTCCTGTCTAATAAAAACCAAAATCAGGAACTGGACTAACGACCAGTTCCAGAACAAATGGCGTGAACAACTAGTGCTCAGGCAGTCAAGGGTCTTTATAAAGGATCCTACTACCTGCAAAGAGGCAAAAAGATTCCTGAAATTTAACAGGAACCGGTTAAGAGCCTTCACAGGAGTCCTAACAGAACACTGGGTAGTCAAATACCACCTATACAAAATCAGACTCAGCAACGAGGCGGATTGTAGGTACTGCAGCGAAGTAGACGAAACTATCGAGCATATCGTCTGCGAATGCGACGCTCTAGTCAATAGTAGACTATAGTCAATATATAGCCTACTATAGGGGAGCCTTTGCAGGCAGCACGTAGGCACACATACGGGCCATTGTGCAAACCCCCTTTTGGTCAAGGCTTTATAATTTAAAGGGTAAAAGAAAATGCGACGAAGAGCTCGTAAGCTATACAAACAAAGGTTGATAATGAAAAGGATTTTAAAGATTTAAAAAATCACTGGTGCAAGTCTATTGCATTAATGTAAATTACAATGAAAGAGAGAAAAAGTATTGGTAAATAAACTAACCATTTACATTTCATTTACAACTTCCCGGTATCTTTAACAAAGCCAATGCCCGCTAAAAAGAAATAGTAAAAAACCTACCTTCATTAATTTTGTTGCTGAAGTAATGACATTTTCATTTTGTACATAAAATTCTCTATGAAAATTTGACACAATTACTCTTAAGGTTATTAGTTGTTGTAAATTTTCTAAAATATTCCGTAAACTTGATCTATCAGGCCTGGACCAGGTTCTTGCTAATTTAGCCATAACTTCTACATTAAGGCATTGGGATGCCCTGCAAATAGCGGGAAGGGCGGTTTCTAAAAAATCACCAGAACCTAAAAATAAATAATTAGGTAATTGTACAAAAGAATTGACTGTTTTTTCATATCGTAAGGTATATATATACAGCGTGTCCAAGGATGGACTAAACTATACTTGTAAAAATATTTATTTTAAATTTTTCGAAGAAAAGTCACTCCTCATAATTTCTTCTGCTTGTTATATAATTACCATTCACGATGAGAAACTTCTATTTTGCTATACAGGGTGCGCAAAAAAAATACAATTGTGATTTTGCAAAATTAAAAATTGTTAATTTTTTTTAAGGTCTAATATGAAGAGCTTGTAAGGAGAAACCAAAAAGCGAAATAAAGTTTTTTCATGTAAGTTGTTAAGATATTTGTTATTAAAAATAAAATCATTATTTTGTAGAAATTGACTGCTATCTCATTTTGTGATTATGAATCAAGGTTGTAACTTTCAACTGACATGTCTACAATGTCTACAATTATTTGGTAAAATTTGAAAACTAATATCTTTAATTTTTAATATCAAATATCTCAGTATCAAAAACTCATATAAAAAAATTTAATATTTCATGATTTCTCCTTACCAGCTCTTTATATTAGCGCCTCAAAAGTATAGTTAAGTCTATCCGTGGACACACTGTATATATTAGGGTGATTAAAAAAACTCAGAACCACGCTCAAAAGTTTCGTATGGACATAAAAATGAGCCCTTGAAGAGATGAGCTCTTAATTTTAAAATTAAGATGCTCCACATCGCGATTTTTTATAAGAATAACATAGGAAAAATTATTTTTGTTTCTTCTGATTTTTGTAACTAACGTACTTTAAAGTTCTTAACATATTTTTGTAGAGAATGGATCGCTCTACAAAAAAGGTTATTTTTTGATCAATTTGATCCTTCTTAAGTAATTTAAGGTCAAAGTTCAAATTATACGAAATTTTTGTGTTTTTTTTAATTTTTTTGGCGAGTCTACCCGACTCATTTAAAAAAAATTGGAATATTTTTGTAAAGAATTGAACGCCCTACATAAAAGGTCTAAAGTAATTTTTGGCTGAAATCGTTTAAAAATATTTCTGCCATAAAACTTTTAAGCTTTTTGAGATCGTAATATTGATAGTTATATTTTTTCGAATTGCCAGAGCTCAAAAGCTATATTTCGATTCGTTTTTAGCCCTTTAAACTCAAAAATCTAGGAGTTTTTTCGAGAAAACGGCTAAATTGACAGTTAATTTCACTTTAACCTTGAATAACTTTTAACTTACCGAAAAATGATTTTTCGGTAGACTAATTATTAGTCTAAAAATTTTTGGTAGAGCTTTACAGTACGACCTACCGTTCGTTAGTTACAAAAATCAGAAGAAACCAAAATAATTTTTCCTATGTTATTCTTATGGAAAATCGAAAAGTGCGATGCGGAGCATCTTAACTTTGAAATTAAGAGCTCATCTCTTCACAGGCTTATTTTTATATCTATACGAAACTTTTGAGCGTGGTTCCAAGAAAAAATGAACAAAAAAAGTTTTTTTGAATCACCCTAATATACAAGGTGTCCCTAAGCATAAATTTAGGAAAAGATTGAGCAAGTCAAAATAAGACGAAAACCTAAATAAATATTTTTCCTAATTACTTATGTTTCCAAGATACAGGTTGATAAAGTGTTACCTAAGGTGATATTTTGCGAACAGTCACTTACTACCAAAACACATAATTACAATTGTTTGAGTGAATACAGTGTCGTAGAAACGGGGGACCCATACAATGAGGTTAGGTTTTTATAACATTTGATGCAATTTTTCGATTACACAGTTCGGCTACCATTAAAAAGGTGTACCTCTCAAACTTCGATAAAATAAACCGTTTCCGAGATATTCGAGATTACAATAATTGTTATATCGCATTATTTAAAAGGATTAAAATGTATATGACAACAAATTTTATTTTTTAATTGAAAAAACTAAAAAGGGCATTCCATGAGCCTCAGGACATTTTGCCCTGACCGTTACATTAAAAAAATTGTACTTTTTTCAATTAAAAAATTTGTTATCACATACCTTTCAGTCCTTTAATGCGAATTACAAATTTTATTCATACTGATATCATACATAAGTCACTGCGTAATAAATGAAAGTCATACGAACGTCACGTCGTGATTTTCACAAATTTTATTCATACAGACATCATCCGGATGTCACTGCGTGAGAAATGAATTGACCGATGGCACAAAAAATCTTGTCGTGATTTTTTATGCCAACGGTGTTTGGATAATCATTTTTGCGCCACGTTCGTACACTAAGAGAAAAATTATGTTGAATCAACAGTTTTTGCGGTTAAATACATTTAATATTTTCTTGAATTTAAATTAACTATATACAGGCTGGCCGATTTATCTGAAGACATTGAAATATTTCGAAAACTACGCATCGGATCAAAAAAAGTTTTGAATAAAATTTGTTCGCCTGGAAGGGGGACATCCAATGATACCAAAGTCGACCCCTCACCACCACCCCATGGGGTGGGGGTGGGGGCAACTTTAATATTCTAAATAGGAACCCCCATTTTTTATTGCAGATTCGGATTTACTATTAAAAAATAAGTAACTTTTATGGAAAAACTTTTTTTAAATTCCTGATAGATGGCGCTGTAATCGCAAGAAACCCGATTTTTGGGAATATCTTAAAAAATTACACATCGGATCGAAAAAAAGAAAAACTTGTTTAATTTTTGGATTTTATTCGTATATCAATAAGTTAACATCTATTTTTAAAATTACCCAAGAATGGGAAATCCGAATCTGCAATTTTTCAAGATATTCCCAAAAATCGCGATTACAGCGCCATCTATCAGGAATTTAAAAAAAGTTTTTCCATAAAAGTTACTTATTTTTTAATAGTAAATCCGAATCTGCAATAAAAAATGGGGGTTCCTATTTAGAATATTAAAGTTGCCCCCACCCCCACCCCATGGCCATGGGAACATGGGAACATCAAAAGGAATTAATTAATTTAATTTATTTTGAATTCCCTTACAATTCTCGTATACACTAATTATATTTTTTAATGGGAAATCCGAATCTGCAATTTTTCAAGATATTCCCAAAAATCGCGATTACAGCGCCATCTATCAGGAATTTAAAAAAAGTTTTTCCATAAAAGTTACTTATTTTTTAATAGTAAATCCGAATCTGCAATAAAAAATGGGGGTTCCTATTTAGAATATTAAAGTTGCCCCCACCCCCACCCCATGGGGTGGTGGTGAGGGGTCGACTTTGGTATCATTGGATGTCCCCCTTCCAGGCGAACAAATTTTATTCAAAACTTTTTTTGATCCGATGCATAGTTTTCGAAATATTTCAATGTCTTCAGATAAATCGGCCACCCTGTATAGTTAATTTAAATCCAAGAAAATATTGAATGTTAAACTGTTGATTCAATTGTTAACATACTTTTTCTTTCAATGTACGAATGTGTCGCAAAAATAAATATCCAAACACCGATGGCATAAAAAATCATGTCGTGATTTTTTATGCTATCGGTATTAGGGCATAAAAAATCACGACATGATTTTTTATGCCATCGGTGCACCCACATGTTGGATATTTATTTTTACGCCACATTCGTACATTGAGAGAAAAAGTTTACCTACATATACAGACTGTATAGAATCAAGTAAGTAAGACTGGAGACAAGGATGACAAATTATATTCTGATCAGAGAAAAAGAAAGAAACTTTAATTGGGCGTGGTTTAAACCAAGCCATTCGTAATTACGAACCATAGTTGCCAGGTTGTTTTAAATCAGAAGAGAACGATTATAATTATTTTATAAATAGTTCAATTTTATTTGTTTGAAACTTTAAAAATAACAAAAAAATTATTAATATGTCAAAAATAATTTGATTTAGATAATTTTCTTACTTTTAATATTAAAAAATAAGAAAAACAACCCTTTTAGGAAACAATAATAGCATATGGCAACAGCGCGGCATGCAGCCAGATACAAGGGCATGCAGTTTGATCTACAGTGTTTGTTCAGTAGCTCCGACGCTGTCGTAGGGAAATGTGTATAGTTTTTAAGAAATACATTTTCGCCATTAACTGGAATTTAATGGATTTTAAACAATACTTAGTTTTTATTAGCAGAAATGCATTAAAACAAAACAAACTAATTCGATATAAATAAAACCTATAAATTCTCAAACAAAAATAATTCTAAAATAACGAAAATAACTTTTTTCTAAATTAAATGTTCAAATAGACCACCAGCAGCAGTTAAACAATACCCTAGCCTATCATAAAAATTCCTGCGCACGTTAAACAGCATTTCAGGACTAATATCTCCCAATGTATTAAAGATTTGCACCCTTAATTCATAAAGATTATTAGCCCTGAGCTCTTGAAATCCATAAATTTTCGACTTCACAATTAAATCCCTACCACAGTGGGCGGGGTTGGCACTTGTTTTATTTAAGTGTATCTATTTGTTTTAATACACACTGTATATATATATTTTTTTTTAGTTCCACCCTTACTTCCTAAGAAGTCCCAGAAGCCAACTGAATGGCTTGTGCGGGTTAGGAGTAGGAACGGACCGCGGGCTTAAAGTCCCCTCCGAAGGACTATTACACAATAGGACAAACACAAATAAACAGCCATACCCCTGGTGGGATTCGAACCCACGACCTCCGGCTTGTAGTCAGCAGCACTAACCACTAGACCACCGTCGGCGATATTGAATCAACAGTTTTTGTGGTTAAATACTTTCAATATTTTTTTGGAATGTGACGCAAAAATAAATATCCAACAGGTCGGTGCACCAATGGCATAAAAAATCATGTCGTGATTTTTTATGCCCAAACACCGATAGCATAAAAATCATGTCGTGATTTTTTATGCCATCCTTGTTTGGATATTTATTTTGCGCCACATTTGTACATTGAGAGAGAAAGTATACGGCCATTCCACGCGTAACGGATGGGACAGTTGCAAGTTTTTATTTACAAAATATCATTGTTCTATTATATTACTAAT